TCAACAAGCTGAAATTCTCGCATGGATTGGTCACTGTTCTGTTTTCGGGCCATATCTCGGTCTAGAAGTATCTAATTTAAGTGATTCTTATTCCATTGGAAAGGCGACTCAAAGGTCTACAATTCTTATAAATGCATAAAAGTCTAAAAAGGAAGCCACAGGGGTCCAAATTGTCCTTGAAGTTGAAGTTCCAAACTGACAATCCAAAACTGACTACTGTTTGGTTTTTGGACCATATCTCGGCCTAGGAATGTCCAAATGAAGTTATTCTTGCACCCTTGGAAAGAAGACTCGACGGGATACAATTTTCATGAAGACCATAGTTCCAAATTCTGACGTTTTGAAGGACAAAGGACACGGACAAGTGCACGGTCGTGTCTGTGGCCGTGTATTTTCTGTGCAAATTCCAGTGTGCATTGCCATTTTGGACACGGCCAGAGACATGGCCATGTCCCTGGCCGTGTCACCTGCGCTCTATTTTATATATGTATGAATTTTGGTCATTTATACTTGGTTTTTGACTCTTGTTAGAGCCCTAGACACTCTCTTTCATTCTCCTTCATATTTTTAGGTTAGAATAGGCTTAGATTTATGTTTCTTAACACTTTTGAAGCTTGTAATCTTGGATTTGATGCTTGGATTCCAACATTTCAAGATTCCACCATCCATTTTCAATAGAGAAGCTTCTTATCCCTTTTATCTCTTTCTTTTGCAAGATTTATGTTTAATGCTTGTGTTCTTGTGTTCTTTATGCTATTTAATCATGAGTAGTTAGTTTATGGACTTGAGTTAGTGTTGTATTTTCTATCTTGATGCTTGATTTGTGATTATTGCAAAAAATGGGAAGAACTCCAATCTAGGGTTCATGTGTTTGTGAAGGTTTTGTATTTATATCTTGTTAATGTTTGATGTACACATTCATTAGCTTGTTTTTGGAGGATTCCTTGCCTCAACGAGAGTTGGGTGATGAATCCAAGCCACCCCTTGCATAGACCCGATTTCTTCCTACGAAAATAGGGGAAATGGGAGGTTTTAGATGCTTTGTGTGCTTGATGGACTTGGAATTGATTCACCATGAAATTGGGGCAATTCCTTGTTCTAATCCTTGTTTATTAATCACGAGAATGGTTCGTAGACTAGGATACCTATGTGCATTCCCGCTTGATTCCTTGGTTACTTGTTCTCCCTAATCCCTTAGGTTGTTAAAGCATCTAGATGATAATGCTCCCTAGCTTGAGTCCTATTTCTTTATTTTGTGTTTATCTTTGTGTATATGTGTTAGTCTTATCATTTCCTTAAACTTGTAGTTTGCTTCGCTTCTTGTTGATTGCCTAGTGCTAGTGCCTAGTTTCTTGTGATTGCGTATTGCGTGCCATATCCCCCAATCCCCTGAGGACGACATAACACACCTGAGCTCACAACTCATTTTTGCTATAATCACTTCTCTTTTTGTACTTTTCCTTCTTGGGTCGGGGTCCACACCCCATCAGTTGGGCTTGGGCGTTTTAATCAATTTATCTTATTACTGTTGTCTTATTTACATATCTTAGTTTTAAACCAAACACAAAAATCTAACATTCACAGCAATCTAACATTCCCTAAGGTAATCTAACATTCCGTAAACCAAACGCCCCCTAAATGTCTCTTTTGACTCACTAAAAATTGAAAACTAAATGCGAGATGTAAATTTTCTCTGTAATTTTTTTTCTCTCTTGAGTCTCACTTACAAAGTTTGACTCTTAACTAACTTGATAGTCGTCCCCTTATCAATTGATTCAAACTACTAGATTCACATACACTCGTTTTAATAACGTTTACAAAAGATTGACCTTCTTTAATAAAATAGTTAGCAAATCAGTCAATTATAGCTTATTTGACCACTATTAACTGTTTGACTTGGTTAAACAATCAATATGAGTGTTTGATTAATTATGTCGAATCTCTCTAAACTAAGTGGAATGAGATGAGAAACAAGACTTCTTCAACTGAGAAGAAGATTTCATTATTTTGATTGTGTCATTACCATTGCGAACGAAAAGGAGAAAAGAAAGAAGCTAAAAAACTACTAACTCCACTTAACCGCTATTAACCAATTTTGAAAGGAAAAGACAGAAATACCCTCAGGGATACTAACTGTTACCAAAACAGATTAACTAACTGTTTTGCTAGCTTTGTCACCCAAAACTTCTGCTTGCTTCATCATCCCCCCTTAAGCTGGAGAATGAAGATTCTGAAGGCCCAGCTTAGACTGGAAGAGCTGAAATTGGGAGATAGGCAGTGGCTTGGTGAAACCATCAGCCAGCTGTCTGTGAGAAGGGATCTTCATCAGAGTTATCATTCCTTCATTCACCTTTTGTCTAACAATGTGGCAATCTATCTCGATGTGTTTAGTCCGTTCATGGAATACAAAATTCTCTCCAATTGCCACAGCTGAGTTATTATCACAAAATAAGGGAATGGAGTTGCTGCTGCCTGACTTTAAGTCTCTTAGTAGATAGAGGAGCCACTGAATTTCACAAACAGTGGAGGCAAGGGCCCTGTACTCTGCCTCTGATGAAGACCTAGAAACTGTTGCTTGCTTCTTTGTCTTCCAAGATATTAAGGAGTCTCCAATAAAGATGCAATACCCTGTAACTGACTTTCTGGTTTCTGAACATGCTGCCCAATCTGAGTCAGAACACCCCTGTAGCTTGATTTCTATGTTGGAAGCATAAAATAGGCCTTTTCCAGGTGAACTCTTGAGATATCTTAGCACCCTGTGGGCTGCAACCAAGTGTGTGTCTCTTGGCTTATCAACAAACTGTGTTAGCTGCTGTACAGAATATGAAATATCAGGCCTTGTGTTGGTTAAGTATAACAACTTGCCAACCAACCTTCTATAGGGCTCAGGGTTACTCAATAAAGTTCCTTCAGTAGTATTGAGTCTTGTCCCTGGTGTGCAAGGTGTCCTCACTGGTTTAGCATCTAGGAATCCATTCTCCTTTAAGATTTCCACTGTATATTTCCTTTGACAGAGATTAATACCACTCTGGGATCTGAGAGCCTCAATTCCTAAGAAATAGTTTAGTTGCCCTAAATCCTTGATCTTGTAGAGATCATTCAGCATATCCTTCAACTCTTGAATCTTGCTGGAATCTGTGCCTGCTACTAGTATGTCATCAACATACACTAGTAAGGCAATAAAAGATCCAATCATAGGATTTAGTAAACAAGGAAGGGTCAGCAAAAGACTGCTGAAAACCATTGTCCAATAGGGATTTTGTGAGTTTGGCATTCCATTGCCTACTTGCTTGTTTCAATCCATATAAGGACTTAAGTAACTTACACACTTGGTTGGGCTTGTCAGTCTTGAATCCTGGTGGTAGGGACATATACACTTCTTCATTTAAATCACCATCCAAAAAGGCAAGTTGTTGGATATCCCAATTCTTAGCAACTGCCACAACCAAAAAAGTCTTGATTGTGGTCGTCCTAGCCACTGGTGAGAAGGTTTCCATGTAGTCCACTCCCATCTGTTGGGTATACCCCTTGGCTACAAGCCTAGCTTTATACCTTTCTATTGTTCCATTAGCTTTGTGCTTCACTTTATACACCCATCTACACCCAATTGGTGTCTTTCCTATAGGAAGGTCAGTCAATTCCCATGTTTTAGTCTGGATCAAAGCATCTATCTCAGTTCTCATTACCTTCTTCCATTCATTGTACTGAACAGCTTCATGGTAGGAAGATGGTTCATAAGCTGATATGAGGGATGCAGCACAACATTTCTGTTCAGAAGTCAAGCTATTATGAGAAATAAAGTTCTCTATAGGATGAGGAGAGGACCTTGTGTATCCTGTTGCCCTTATCATAGACTTGCAGTAGTAATCATTCAACCTGTATGGGAGGGCCCTTGACCTTGTTGATCTTCTAGGCTGTGGCTGTTGTTCATTCTCCTGTGAGGGGTTTTCAACAAGGTCTGAATCATCAGGCTGTCCCCCTCTTAATTCATTAGACATGTGACCTTCTGATTCACTAGCATTTTCCATTTCTGCCATGGGACTGATCTCATCAACAGAGTCCTCAGTGTCTCCACTTTCTGCCATGAATGTGGAGTCTGTGGGTTCAACAACATCCTCCATGTGGGTGGTTTCAAATTGATCCCCAGTTGCCATAGGGATCAAGGGCAAAGATGGATTGATGCCTTCATGACTGGAACTGGTTGGCTGCATGACTGACTGATCCTTTAGAGGATATACAAGTTCATAGAATTTGACATCCCTGGAAATCAAAACAAACTTATTATCAAGGTCATACAACAAGTATCCCTTTACATAAGATGGGAAGCCTAGGAAAACACATTTCCTAGCTCTAGTTTCCATTTTATTCCTTCCTTGGGAAATGGAGGCACCAAAGCACAAGCATCCAAAACTTCTCAACTGTTTGTAATCTGTTTGTCTTCCTGTAAGAACTGTAAAGGGAGAATTTCCTTGGAGAACATCAGTTGGTAATCTATTAATGAGGTATGAAGCATGAAGAACACAGTGACCCCAAAACTCCATAGGCAAACCAAACTGAAACCTTAAAGCCCTAGCCACATTCAAGATGTGTTGATGCTTCCTTTCCACTACCCCATTCTGTTGGGGAGTATAAACACATGTCCTTTGGTGGACTATTCCCTTCTCATCACAAAAGTTATTCATTATGAACTCAGTCCCATTATCAGTTCTAACTGCTTTGATCTTGGCTGAAAATTGGGTGTTGACAAAGTTATAGAAACTCTGAAATATAGTCCTAACTTCTGATTTACTTTTCAACAAATGTAACCAAGTAAATCTAGTGTAGTCATCAACAATAGTTAGGAAGTAATGCTCTCCTTTGAGAGATGCCACAGGGAAGGGACCCCACACATCCATATGGACAAGTTCAAAACACTTCTCAGTCCTAGATGAGCTAACAGGAAATGTAGACCTCTTGTGTTTTGAAAAATGACAAACATCACACACAAAGCCATGTTGTTTCTACACTGATTCAATATCAACTCCATTCAGAAAAGGAATTTTATTAATGGGGTAGTGCCCCAATCTATTGTGCCACAATTTAACTGTCAAGCTATTACATTTAGAATCATTCCTATCTAATGACAATAGTTGTTTCTTGACAGGAGGAACCTTTATCAGGTACAAACCATTGCTTTCCTTAGCAAAACCAGCCACTGTTCCAAGGGAACCCTGAATATCACAACAGTCAACACTCATCACAAGTTTGCACCTTGATTGCCTAGCTAGTTTGCTGACAGAGACAATATTAAAGGTAAAAGATGGTATGTATAAGACATTTTCCAATATGAGTCCCTTATCAAATATAATTTGTCCTACACGTGTGACACTCACAACCTCACCATTTGGTAATTTAACAGATACTCCCTCAATTCTGCAACATTTATCAAAGAATTGCAAGGAGCATGTAATGTGGTCTGTAGCTCCTGAATCCAATATCCATATCATATGAGTGCTTGAGAGGGTGTTAACATGAATATCAGGAATAGGAATACCTTTTGAATGGCCTTCAGTTGTTTCTCTAAACTCTGGACTGATTCCAGTTGGTCTAACTGTCACAGCTGCATTGCTAACACCATGATTCTGATTTTGCAGAAGGGTTAACAACCTTTGAAATTGATCAACAGATAGTCCTGTGTCAGATATATGATTTACTGAGGAGGTGGATGGCTGTTGCATCTCTTGGGATTGCTTGTTCTTGGACTTGTAACCTGTAACCCAACTAGGGGCGTACCCATTCTTCTTATAACACTTCTCAATAGTGTGCCCATTCATCCCACAGAAGGTGCACTTGGGCACATTCTTTCCTCCAAAGTTTTGAAACTTCTTCTTATTGTTAAAAGTAGCAGCTGTGAGTGAGGACTGTTCTTCATCAATCTGATCCTGAGCACTGTGGACCACATTGGTTTGAATGAATTCAGTGGCCTTCTGGGCAATGGTCCCTTTAATCTTCCTTTCTAGCTTTAAGGTCATATTTAGGACCTTCTCCATATCCGGAATTGGATCCATAACAAGAACTCCGGACTTAATTGTTTCATAATCTTCACTAAAACCTTCCAGAAACCGGATTATTTGGTCTTTTTCTCTTTGTTTTTGCATTCTTTTCATCAAGGTACAAGAACATCTAGGCACACACTCACAGAGGAGTAGGGGCCTTAGGGCATTCAGCTGCTGCCATAAGGCATTACTCCTAGTAAAGTATTCATTCACAGACATTTTTCCCTGTTGATTCTTGAATATTTCATTTTGAATTTCAGAAATCTTGTGAGGGTCAGATTGGGAATACCTTTTCTGCAATGCACTCCAAATCTCTGAGGCTTTATCGAAGTACATTATACTCTCAGCAATCTCCGGACTGACTGATTTCAAGATCCAAGAACACACTATGCGATTGCATCTTCTCCAGGTTCCAATTCTCGGATCAGTCTCTTCTGGAATCAGAGCTGTGCCATTGACAAAACCGAATTTGTTTTTGACTTCAAGGGCAATTCGCATTGCCCTGCTCCAAGAGGCATAATTGATCTCGGTTAGAGGGAGGGAGACCAAACTCAGGTTGGGATTCTCTGTCACATGCAGGAAGAGGGGGTCGTCAAACTCGTCGCTGCGTTGATTCGCCGGATTCTGAGCCGGAATGGGATTTGGGGGAGCTCCGGCAAACTCTGATTGACCGGGATTGTCGCCGGCGACGCCTTCCATTACAACGGCCGTGGCATAGCTTCTGGATCGCTCTGATACCATGTCGAATCTCTCTAAACTAAGTGGAATGAGATGAGAAACAAGACTTCTTCAACTGAGAAGAAGATTTCATTATTTTGATTGTGTCATTACCATTGCGAACGAAAAGGAGAAAAGAAATAAGCTAAAAAGCTACTAACTCCACTTAACCGCTATTAACCAATTTTGAAAGGAAAAGACAGAAATACCCTCAGGGATACTAACTGTTACCAAAACAGATTAACTAACTGTTTTGCTAGCTTTGTCACCCAAAACTTCTGCTTGCTTCATCAAATTAGCTTTTTGTAACAACTTATTGCTCCAAAATGTTAAAATTCAAAAAGCTGTTCAAAGTAGCTTTTTAGATAAACTTTTTGAGAAAATCATTTAGTATGTAATCAGCTAACAACTAATTTACCAAATACTTTTCTACAATCTACTAATACTATCAATTAGTCAAGCTCACTAATCCAATTAGCTAATAGCCAATTACCAAACACCCCAAAATGTTTAATAAGTCGGTCAATTTTCTGACGTACCCAACTTGTAATAAAATAGAGCACATGGAATTGAAATTCCTCTTAGCTTAATGTATAATCATAACATCATTAAATAATCAAATGTAACTTTGTCTTTTTTTCCCAAATCAAAGCAAAATCTTGGTGGTAAAAAGAACCAAAAAAAACAAAAACTAAATAAAATTGTAAATAAAACTTAACAAAAACAGCAAAAGTAGTGCTGTTTCTGGTTTGATATTAAGCAGATAGTTTGAATTGGGTTGCTTAGTCTTTGTTTCTGGTTTATTTCCTGTAGACTATGCTGTTTAGTATGTTGTTTATACTATTTTTATGTGTTTGTTGTAACTGTTTGTAGTATTTATACCTCTTTACTATCAATAAGAAAGTTAATTAACTTTGCATCCTTTACACTTGATACAAGTGGAGTTCACGGGTGACATATATACAGCTAACTAATTTCATTCAGACAACGACCATCTACGACCACATAGTATTGCTAAGATAAGATAAGATCATCCTAATGTAACTAAACTTCCATTCCGCCTCTTCAAAAATGGTTAATGATGATGAAATGAAAGCAGTACGAGGTAGAACTACCTAGCATGATTAGCAGTAGTTAACTCAGGAGGATAATCCTAATCAAGTTTGTCAAACTGTTTACTACTTGTAATAAGAAGTTTACAAGTTCAAGTTCTTGGCCTATTGACCTTCAACCTAAGCTGCGAATTTTCCTAATTGATGAAGTTAACGAACAATGCAACATGATGTTAACTAACTAGTTGGGGATCCAAGCAGTGGCAAACACGACATTATGGCCTTTCCAGGTGAGCACAACATCGCCGTCTTCTCTCTTGAGTCCCCAGCCGGCGGCGTGCTCGTCCAGCATGTTCTTCACTTCGGAAACGCCGTCGTCGGAGAACGGGACGCCTCTGAAATTGGCGTTCCTCAGGCGTTGCACCCACCGGGTTTTGGGCTCCACCCGCTCCACTCTCTGGAGGCCTTCATGGGCTATCACGTTCTCCACTTTCCAGCAGATGTTGGCCTCGTACCACTGCCGTTGCTTGCTCCCTCTGGGAAGGAACGTGTCCACCGTGTCGTACGGAATCCATAGGTAGTTAAAGGCCGACCTTAGTCTGCAGACGAGGTTGTTGGAGGTGAAGTCGGCGTCCTCGTCGATTAGGAGAAGGATTGTCGGGTCTAGGCTTCGGATTGATTTGAGAAACATTGTCCGGAATGAGGCGGCGCCGGCGGCGGAGGATTGAGAATGGGAATTCTCGTACAGGGTTTCGTCGGGAATGTAGTGTAACATCATGTGACAGTTTATCACGAGTGCCTCGCTGGTTTCGGCTCGTACGAGGTTTTGCAGCCGGAGTTGCTGGATCAATGAGGAGAAACCGTCGGAAGGAGTGGAGGGGACGACTGTGAAATTTAACGCCACGTTTCGGGACCTGGCGAAGTTGACGAGCTTGGCGCCGAGCTCCTCGTAGGAAAGATCGAGCATAGGCGGGAAGTCCTCGGCGGCGGCGGCGAGTGTAAGCTTGATCAACGGCGGGCCTTCAGGGCGGGCGGCGATGGCGTCGATAAGAGTAGGAATCTGCATGCAATGGGTGGAGCTTAGATCGACAATGTGAACCACGGAGTAGCCCTCCACGGCGTCTATTATGGCGGCGTTGGCGGCGGTGAAGCCGAAGCGGTGCCAGGGCGTGAGGTCAACGAAGCTGGCGAGCTCTATGATTGAGAATCTGTGGGTGTTCATCATGTTGAGGTTGAGGCCGGGGTGGAGGTCGGCCATGGCGGCGAGGAGCTTGCAGGTGCCGCTCATGGCGGCGCGGGCTATGAGGGCGCGCAGAAAGGCGCAAGTGAGGCGCTGGTTGGAGTCGCCGTCGGGGGTGGCGATGTTGTTGAGGACCCACAAGATCTGCTGAGCCAAAGTGGCGTCGTTGCTCTCGATCGCGTTCGCACAGTGGACTAGCAACTGCTCCATGCAGTTAGGATCCCCGATGGTTCCTAGGTTCTTGGACGATGTCGGGAATCCCGGCCATGGTCGCGTCCGATGAACCTGATTTTTGTTCGTCACAAGGCCAGAGAACGCTGAGATTTGGTGCGATGACGGCGCCGGCAAGGTCTCCGTGAATTGCATCATGAAACCCAAACTCAAAATTACAAAAACCAAACCTACCTAAATGCTAGATTACTTACTTGACACGCATACAAATAGAGTTACGTTGATGATGGGGAGAACCAAATTAAAAAGAAAGAAAGAGACGGGTCAATACACTATTCTTCTTCTCCCAAATACTGCCTACTACTACTGAACCATTGAGCTTTGATACCAAATTGAAAGATATATTTAACACATTTCAATATTAAAACAGAAAGCGATGGATTAATTCTCACTTTTGTATTGCAGATCAGAGGAAGGAAAAAAGACTGATCAGCTTTTACAATCAAGATTTATTGATCTTCCCACGGGCAGCAAAAAAAAGGACAGCTGAGAAAAACCCACAACCCAAAAAAAAAAAGGTTAAAAGTCAAATTGGGCAAAAGGGACTCTTCATTCTCTGAATCAATACAGACTTTTCCACTTTTCAGCAGATGATCAGATGGGTTCATGGAGGGAGGCTAGAGAGTCAGAAGCTAACCCAGAGAATTTTGAAGGCTACAGAAGGTGTTTTACAGAAGAAGATAGATATAGAGAGAGAGGGGATGGAGTGTGACATACATGTGGAATGGCCGGCCAAGGAGTTGTCAATATATGGAAGCTGGGAGTTTGGCATGTAGTGTTTTTATAGAATGAATGAGAGAGAGATGAAAGTAGTATAGCTTTGGCTTTTGGCTCACTACAACTTATTACATCATGCAAAAATCATTTTATGTACCCCGCCCGCGCAGTTATTACTATTATTATTAGCATATATTAACGTAGTTACACACCAATTCAAGAATATAATTTTGTGTGTCTTGTTTTTGTACTGTACGTACGAGGTAGGGTCACACTGCCTGGCAAACGTTTGGTAGGCTCAGTTAGACTTCTCAGATTAACGTACTAATAAATGCATACCTTCCAAAGTTTAGGTCCCCCTTCCATATATCTCATGGTGGAAAAAGGGTTAAATTTCACCATCTCCAGACGGACCATGTCACTTCAATCAATATATTACATGATAGGTAAATCTCGACAGAGAAATAATTGTAAATGGATGTTCACCCTCATTATATTCGAACTCTCATATCTTCCCCTTGATAGTATAAAGGTATAAATAGGCCATTGAACTATTTGGGAGATAGCAATTAAGCCACCGAACTTGAATAAACTCTAAATTCATCCATAAACTTTGAAAAAAAAAAGTGCAATTAGCATTTTTAGTAGATAAACAATAGGTTTGGGTTGCCATGTGTATATTTTATTTTATAATTTATTATTTTTATTGTTCTACTAAGCATTTGAATATTTATCATATTTATTAAGTCTTACTATGGATATTAAATTTTAATCTATACAAAATGAACTATACTTACTAATACTATAAAAATAAAAAGAGAAGAGGTTGTGACGTTCTTATAAATAACTATAAATTTATTTAACAAAATAAAACAATATCTTTAATTTCTGTTTATCTGTTTATAATAGTAAGTAATATGTCTTTTTATTTTTATTTTTAATATAAAAAACAAAACGATCCGGGTGAGCTCATCCTGTATCAATGAGACAAAATGTCACATTTTCTTTCTTCCATGCCATCAATAATTCGCATCTCAAATCAATACACATTACACAATAGTCTCTCCATCATGTCATTTTCTTTAATATAATTACTATATATTATAATATTAATATTACTATATATATACCATAATTGCTAAATAATGTTAGCTAGCTTACTCATCACCACGTAACTACGAGGGATAATATATATATATATATATATATATATATATATATATATATATCCTTTATATAATAAAGCTATATGGTTTGGGAAATAATTAATGTTACAATTAATGCCACAACATCCTTTACTATTATAAAAAAAAAAAGCACAACATTTAAAAAATAAAATAGCTATATATTATATAATCATATAAAAAATGTGTTCAATTAGAGTTTAAATTTACACATACAAAATTTGAAATTTGCTTTCCAAATGTAATTATCTTAGTTATTATTTGTATTGTGAAAATTATAATATAGATGAAATACAATTAAGAATAAATCAATGTAATTATGTAAATTATCTCTATAAGTTTATTTGAATATGCACATAATTAGAGATTATATTAACCATACAAAATTATAATTGTAATTTTAATTTTAATTTTAATTGTAATTTTTTATTCTATAAAAATAATAAATACTTGACCAATGGAAGCTCAAAAATATTATTATAGACCAATGTAAGCTCAAAAATATTATTATATTAAATAATTTAAAATATTTTAGTTTTTCTATTTTTTTATTTATATTTATAATAACATTTTTTTTTCGTACATCGCGCGAGTGAATTACTAGTGTGTGTGTGTGTGTGTATATATATATATATATATATATATATATATATATATATATATATATATATATATATATGAGATGACGTTGGTCTCTTTGAATTTAATTAAAGGTAACTGTTGAGCAGCGACTCAAAGATCTAAGTCATTGAAATGTAAACCGCACTACTATGTAAGTATAAAAAAATAAAATTGTATATTTATCATTAATTATAACTTTTGACGTAATGATAAAGTGATAGCCGTACTACTACCTTAAGGTCAATTGAGGGAACTGTTGTCATACCATAAAAATTTAATTAACCTAAAACACGCACAAATCGTAGAAACTTATTACCCCTGGTCTGGTCCCAGGGAATCTAACATTCTTAAAAGCATAAAATTGTGCACAGCCATGAGCCATACATGCATCAATCACCAGTTATGCATCGTAATATCCGAACATATGAATATCCTCTTAGGAATCCTGGGGCTTGGTTCCGGCAATTCAATCTGGCATGTAAGCGACGCAAGAGGATACTAAATTCGCATCACCAATGCATTATATGCACACACAAAATTTTTGGAATGGTTCAATTCCGAGGTTTTTTTTGGGTCCATGTGTGTGTTATTTATTTATTTGTTCTTTCAAATTATTTTGGATAAAAAAAATTCATAATCACTATGTAAAAGTATGTATTAAATATTCACTCTGTACGATAACTCGTAAATTACACAGAAAAGATAAATCGTTTTAAAAAGAGCGTCTGCAACATGCTCAATTAAGAAGGAATTGATAAGAATCAAAATTTTCTGATTCTTAATTTAGATGGTGGGTGCTACTTGATCTAGCACGTGAAGAAGTGTGTTGCCCTAATTCTACTTTGCCTTCCTAACCCCACCGGCCTTAAAATAGACTACACACCCATGCCACGCCACCATCTATCTTAAATATACTGGACCACGACCATCTTCCTTTCCCTCTTCGAGGTTCTATGCCACCGGGCCAATCACTTTCACACACCATGTCGATCGGAATGAAAGAGGTCCCATGATTAAGATTTTGATTTTGATTCTTGATCATGTGCAAAATTTAAATATTGTCTCAATACCAATTTGTCTCATCTTATTTATTTGGAAGTGTTGTTATTGTTAAATAAAATTGTAATTATAAGTGAAAGGAAAAATTATCATTTTGGTCCCTCAATTGTTTCCCAGTTGTTAATGTAGTTTATAATATTCAATTTTAAGTAATTTGATCATCAAATTGTTTAAAATTTTATCAATTAAACATTTCAAAGAGACCAATGATTTCTTAATTTTTAAAATTTCGTCAATTTGATCTTCGAAGGATTTACTTGACGAAAACTTAAACAATTTGATAATTAAATTAATTAAAATTGAAAATGAAGAATTATATTGAGTATTGACAATTGAAATTAATTGAAGGACCAAAATGATAATTTCGCTAAGTGAAATAATTGTATCGAACGAGAGAGAAAGAAAAAAATCCTAATAAAATCTGAGTGGAGGGATTATGAGTAATGGTGATAAGCAGCAGTACGTACGTGATTTGGAGATGGAATATTATTATGGCGTACGTAGTACGTAGGATCGGAGTCATTCCTCAGTACTCACATGCCTATGTTTCCCCAATCATTCCAAACGAGTTTGTCATAAAGTTCTCAATTTTATGTCATTACGCTAATGGTTGTATACTGCAACATTCTTTTGCAAAACAGCTAGCTAGCTAGAAAAAACATAATTGGCGCCCTGCATTTACAATTCAAACTTCAAATCCATGGTTGACTAGGGACGTTCGTTATCCAGTGGAGCATATATAGCTCATATTGCAAGGTGAATTACAGACATACATGCATATTTTTTTTTTTTAGTACTATTGATTCTATTATAAAATAGTATTTGTTCTATACTTTTTCTATTTGTTGCAGCTCATAGAATCAATATACAATCACCGAGGTTCGATCCTAGAGGTCACAAAGATGCCATCAGAGCACAAGGTGCTTAATTTTTTCTATATTAAAAGTTTAATTTTTTATTGTCCATTTTTAGTATACTGTTTAAAAATAAAAAGGAATAAGGGTCAAATAGGCCATCGAACTGCACACAATAAAACAATTAGGCCACTGAACTTAAAAAACCAACAATTAGGTCCCTAAACTAATCAATTTCAAACAATTCTTTCAATTAGAAGGTTTCCAACAGGTCAACAGGTCATCCTTCCAAATTAATTATTTTTTAAAATTTAAATTTTAAAAATTAATTATTTAAATTAAAAAAAAAAAAAAAAAAAAAAAAAAAAAAACTGGTTCCGTCTCCCGTCTCCGGCTGGATTCCAATTTTTTTTTTTTTTTTTTTTTAATTTAATTTAAAAATAATTAATTTTTAAAATTTATATTTTAAAAAAATAATTAATTTGGGAGATGACCTGTTGACCTGTTGGAAACTTTCAAATTGGAAGAATTGTTTGAAATTGATTAGTTTAGGGACCTAATTGTTGATTTTTTAAGTTCAATGGCCTAATTGTTTTATCATGTGCAGTTCGATGGCCTATTTGACCCTTATTCCAAATAAAAATTCAGTATACTAATATTAGGATCAAGCGCTTACCACTTACGTAAAAAACTATAGCTAGTAGCGAAGACGCAATTTTATTTTCTTATAGATTGCTATCATATTTTCGAGAGATATGGTGCTAGATTTGGCATTTACCAGCCCCTGCCCAACAATCCCCCTAGTCACATGGTGCTGAAATTGGTCCTTATCGGCCTCTATGGAGAGCTAGGGTCCTTACCAGCCTCTACCGAGAGCTAGGGTGCTACATTTAGAAACCTAGTATGCTAGATTTGTCCTTTACCAGCCTCCGTCCAACAATCTCCTAGTCATCACATGGTATTAAACTTGGTCTTTACTAACCTTTACCGAATAACTAAAAGTAAATATCTATTAATAATTCACATTGTAATGTGAATCATGGTTTTGAGTATAAGTTGCCAACTAAGAGTTTGTGGGTTAAACCCCACAACCCAAATAATTGACTATTAAATGTACACACCATTTTTTTTTTAAAGTTTCGAATTAATATTTGGGTTCCAGCAGCAATATAATGTGGGAGTTCAATTCAGGAACGTTATGCTGTGAGCATGTGCCGACCTTGTAATGTGGGCACGGTTTTATATCCATAATTTTTATACTGTAGATTTATAATTTCTATACTGTAGATCTATAATTTCTATACTATAGATTCATAAAATTTATACTTTAAATTCATAATTTCTAAACCGTAGATTCA